TCATCCACTGGAGGTCTTGGAACATATCCCCTGCAGAGAAGGGAGGACTACGATAGTTTTCACAATTTTTAAACATCTCATGATGAAATATGTGGATTGTGTCTTTAACTGTTAAAGTAATATATAATTTTTGTAAAAAATTTGAACAATACTTAAGTGAATGAAGTCAAAAGTAAACTATCAACTAGCACTGTACACATTCCTCATTCCTGATTTTATATATTTGTTTAGATTTTAATACAGTGCATGCTGTTTAATTTAAAAGTTCTCAGCTAAGTGTTGAATTTAAAACTAGTTGATAACTAAAACCCTTTAATAGGTAATGAATGCTTTGAAAAGAAGCTAAGTTGGCTGTTTTTATTTCAGTAGAAGGGCTTTCTAAATTAACTAGTTTTTAAACCCTGAACAAGCTTTTCTCTGCATTTGAGATTTAGAAGATAAAGCATTATTAACCTAAACTGAATTTATGAAGAAGTTTGTTTCTCTTTAGTCAGTGGTATCAGTAGTTACTGTTGGGCAAAAGGCATTTTTAAAAAGATGTGCAAATAGCAGTAGGGCACATGTGACTCCTAGAGAGCTGGGGCTTCCATTGTTGCTCTTGCCTCGACAGGAAAGCCAACCTTCATTTCTTTCCTTTCTCGATTCAAAGGAATAAGGCAAGAAGCCTTTTCTGATTCTGCTACTCAGTTTTTAAGGCAAATCCAATTGTGTTTTACAATTTGGGAAGTTTCGGGGGCCCTGCCTTGGGAACATGTTGTACTCCCCCTGAGAATTATTGACTGTATTTTTAATTGTCCACTGGCATTGAGTTTTAGCCCTTCCTCCAGCCTCTTTCATTGCAGTGTAATTTGGCCTCAAGGCCTGAGCCCTGGAGTAACTCAGCTGCATCATATTGGCTGTTGTGTCTTGACAGCCCATGTTTCCCGTTTACTGAACTGGGACGTATTTTCTGGACCTCTCAGGAGTCTGATTAAGTGTTCATGCTGCATTGTATCTCTGTTTTCTATGTTTTTTGTTCACCATAAACAACTGATTTTTGAAATGAAATGTGTTACCTTTAACAAAGAGATAGTATATATTTCTATTGATCTGTTTAGTGGAATTTACGTAAATGTAACTGATTCTAGTCTTTTGGTGGAAACATTCCTTAGTTGTTTCTGTAGATATACCTAATTTGGTATTTCTAATCCAGTTTTTATTAATCCTTCTTTTTTTTTCACTATTGGTCTAGATTGATGAGCAAATTGAAAGCATGTTTAATTCAAAGAAGAGAGTAAAGGATATGGCTGCTCCTGGAACATCAAGTGTCCCTGCTCCAACTGCAGGAAATGCTGAGAAATTAGAAATTGCTAAGAGATTGGCTCTTAGGATCAATGCTCAGAAGAATTTAGGCATTGAATCTCAGGTATTAAGTAATTTATTCCAAGTCTCAGTATGGTTTTTTTTTTTCTTTTTTCTTTTTTGAGACAGATCTCGCTTTGTCACCCAAGCTGGAGTGCAGTGGTATAATCATAGCTCACTGCCGCCCCAAACTCCTGAGCTCAAGCAATCCCCCTGCCTCAGCCTCCTGAGTAGCTGAGACTACAGGTGTTCACCACTGTGCCCGGCTAATTTTTTAAAAAATATTTTGTAGAGGTGAGGTCTCGCTGCATTGCCCAGGCTGGTCTTGAACTTAAGACCTCAAGCAATCCTCCTCCCTTGTGCCTTGGCCTCCCAAAGTATTGAGATTACAGGCATGAGCCACCACACCTGGCCTCAGTCAATACTTTTTATAAGTTCTTTCATTTTAAATACTTTTCAGGTATTACATTGAGCACAAGTGAACAACAAATTGTCTTAGACATTGAGTTTGTGAGAATTTAACATTCTCTGTT